AGTCTTTACAATTATTCTAAAGAGAGAGCTTACAAAAGAAAAGTTTATAAACATATTAGTTTCTGAAAGAGAAAAATATAATGATGTTTGTGCAATTCTCTTTGCTATGCCTAGGAAAAACTATAAGAACAAAACCCAATCTAAGAAATGAATGATAACATATTTTAGCATCTCTTAAACCTAACACCCCAATGTAAGCTCTTGAGTTTGGACTTTCCGGGAGGTCACCCAACCTAGTATTATTCAAACCCAAAAACACTTAACCCCAAATATCCCAAGACCTTTAACCGATTGGAAAAGGGGGTGCACTCATATTCATGAGCCCTTTCCTTCTATATTTGAACCCCATGGATTGTCTCTTAAGTCGTTCTCTTTGGTTGCTTACACCCAAGCACTCAACCACTCAATTGAGCATAACAAGTCTTCTTTATTTTATTTGGCCTCTACTTAGTGAAAAACCATCCTTTGAAAGAGTATAACAACAATAGTTAACATAAATTGTTTACTCACTCAAAATGTTCTTATATATGATGTTATTAACTAAGTAAAATCCACTATAATTGATTTTAAAACAAACTTAGATTTTTTATGCCATACCAACTATTAGTTGTTTAAATGACATTGCATTCATACATCTTATTAAAGTTTTTATTATTCAAAATTTTATAAAATATTGTAGAAGGTTATAATGTGTTTCCTTTTTATTTCATTTTGGTGAACGATCACACTTACCATCATCAATATAGTGTGCATCTTTTACCTTATAGTGATTTAATATAAAATAACCATGAAGTGGAATTTTAACCTATAGTAGAGTGAAACTTGGGCCTTAAGCCATTAAATAAAAGAACAGAACTAAACTCCCTAAGGAACGAAGGAATTAGAGCACAAAATAGCTTCTAAGTGTATAGCTAAGGAGTAAAGAAACATAGATATTTAATATCACAATGCTAAAATTAGCACATAAAATGAAACCAAATAAAGCTTGGCACAATTTTAGCATATTGGTGGCCTAATGCGAAGATATAAGTACTCCACCAGTTAGTGTGGTATAGAGCTTTGGATAAACTCAAGTTAAACATAAAACAAGAATAAGAATATAAACATGGAACTAAACTATGCCGCAAGTTAGTCGGCTATGCTTGACCTATTTACTATCCTTACCATATATTTAGAACCCCTCTGGGATAATCATGAAAACTTATTGATAGATTGTATAATCCACACTATTGTGTTAGGACAATCTCTACATTTTATAAATATGCCTCATTAGCAAATTTAGACATTTTCTATAAATAACCATTAGGACCAAATAGGACCAACACATTAAGAATGATAGTGAGGGTGTCTTGGTGGATATGGTAAAATATTATATAGTTAGTATTGAGGGACTAAGCTTAATATTGTAAAAGTTCCCAACATTAGCAAGTGTAAGTAACAATATAAGTTTCTCGTCACTATGTCAAGTATGTTAATTTAGGATTTGCATACGTGCTAATTTGTTCCAAGAAAATAAACTAAATATTTCATTAAAGTTTAAATAAACTATTGTAAACAGACAATTAAAGTTGTTTACATACCCTTTTAAAATAGAATTAAGAACATCAAAGGATAGGTATACAAGAAAACTCTAGTCTTTTAATTACCTTAAGCTAATTTAGGCACTAATCTTAAATATTCAGTCTTGAATTATGTCTTGAATTCAAATTTTACGAGCAAAGGTTTGAGGTTCAAATCTTATAATGGATAATGATGGCAAAATATACTTCAACAAATACACTTTGAGTGTATAAAATATTTCATTTCTTATTTATTCTTACTGACATATGGGTGTCCTCATCTATGAGTAAGTGTCATCATTAATAATAGAGTACAAAGAGTAGCATAAAAGAAATCAAACAACATACTAAGTATTTAATTAATAAAAGAGCAATGCTAGTATTAATATTAACAATATTCAGTTGAAGCCAAAGTTATTTCTATAGCTCATTTATTAAGTTATAAATAATTTAAACTAAGCACCTAATCAAATATTCTCTCTGACAAAAAAAATGATTTAGAAACTTTTTGTTGCGCTATCAATCTCTCTATCAGGTTCTTTTAAATTTTACTAATGCAATTTATTAATACTATGGTATTATTATTAAGCTTTTAATAGCATATACTATTTAGTATACACATTCAAGCCAAGTGTTACTTCAATACAATATGTAGCAACTTATTTTTCCTCAAGAGGGCTAGCTTTAATATTGGTATGAAGCATTGAATATTCTATTAATTAGCAATAGTAGTGATATTAAGAACAAGTGTATTTCTGAAGGAAAAAATATTTAAACATTATATTAGTTTTATTATAATAAAATAATAATATTATTAAGATATTTAGTAGCTTAATATAAGAGTTTATCCTATGTTTAACACTGGGCTTGATAAGATAAATTTGTTTTAGTATAAAACTGAATTATTAATGAGATTTCTATAAAATTAATACTAATGACAATTCATATACACTACATTCTATTCATGTTTTTGTATTCATATTTTATCATATTTGTATACAGCAGTAAGGTAAGAGTTTGAATACTTAAGTCCAGTTAATGTGCATAATCTAACTTAAGAAAATCTTAACTAGTGTGATTATACACTTAGGGTAAAAACTGGATGTTTAGACAGAGCAGGAACTGATGCTAATATTGATATTTTTTTTTCCTCTCTTGAAGGGCGTATGTTACCATTTTATAATATAGATAACAAAGATGATAATTTTGAGAAATGCAAGCTTGACACATTTAATGTTCAGGGAGATTGTTTACCTAATGAAGATAAGATATGTAGAATGATTATACAACGGGATAATGCTGGTCGATATCAAGATTGGTATATTGAGTGGATACAAATTACAGGAGCAAGAGATAGCCCTCAAACATTTTATGTGAATGCTTGGCTTGATAATGATAACCGGAGTAAAGAAATTGATTTATGCAATGGATAATAATATTTTGGTATAATTAAAAAAGAGTAAAGATATACTGGAGGTAGAATAAATAAATAATCTTATAAAAATAGTTATTCATTTTAATCTGGTTTATGATATGATATAAAATGATATGACACAATAAAATGATCCTAATTAGTTTATTTAGTCTTATAAATCTTCTTTGACATCAAAGCTCTAGTTGTCTTTATATAATGAATATGGAAAGTAATTTCTTTAGTATATATATTCTATGTAAGTATATTCTAAGATAAATATAAAATTCATTTACACAATCATGAATTATCCAACAACATTCAATAGTAAGTATACCAACAAAAAAATCTCAATTATAAACTTAACTGCTAAAGATTTTAGATAGCATGCTAGAAAAATTATAAAAGACAACTCAAAAAGTAAAAAAATATCATCAACTAACAAGCAAAAAACTCATGAATGTATCATTCAAAGAAAATTAAATCACATCCCAATCTATCAAAACCAATATTAGTAATAATTAACAAAACAAAATGAATGCTACAAGGCTAACAAACACTTGTTCATGTTAGTTATTGCACTAATTAGTCAAATTAAATTATAATTAATAATACTAAAGAATTAGAGTTGCTCAAGCAAGTGTTAATAACACTTTATAGATATCTCAAACCCAAGAAACCAATATAAGCAAATCACAAAAAATGTGGTAATGCAAAAAGCCAAAAACTATTAAGATAACAATTCACCATCACAAAAGACTATCAATCATCTTATTAATAGAGATGCAAAATCATTATCAAAGAAGAATCTACATCCCAAAGAATGACAAATTATCCATCATCAACAATAATCAAGCAGAAATTTTAACAAAAATAATCAACTATCCTAGATGACAATCAATTATTACTATTAACTGTTAGATGTGAGAACTAATTGAAACACTTAAGCATTGAATATCATATCCATATACTTGCTAACTATTGCAAAATACCAATAAATACCCAAGACTTCAAAATTACCAAGAATTTTATCTAATATGACCCTAAATTACATAAGATAAATAACTATGGCTATGGAAACTTTCAACCTTTTAGAAACTTTATTTGTTAGATCTCTTTTCCTTTCTTGAATATCTGGAGTAAGCTAAGACCACATATTAAACTATTAAGTTTGGACTTCTTAAAGTATTATAAAATCTTTAATTGATTAGAAAATTTGAAAAAAGAGGTGTATTTTTTTCATAGATCCTTTCCTTTTATATTTAAACTTATACAAATCATCTTTTGAATTATTCTCTTTGGTTGTTTAAACACACTTGTAAACCATAAAAACCTTCAATACAATAGTGCTGTCAAGAGTTCCAGCCCAGCTTGAGCTTAGTAGCTCAGGTGCCTCAGGTGCTTGAGCTTAAGTTTTGGGTTCTTAATCCGAATAAATTGTAAAAAGAATTCTAGCAAAAATTTCATTATGGAATTTTTAATTATCTTGAACATGAATTCCACTTTAAATTTTGATTAAATTTTTAATCAAATTTAGGTCTATATGCCTGGGAGCAATAGCCCTTCAAAGCCAGAATCCCAAAAGCATGAACTTGTGGAAGAGAGGAACTTACTTAGCAGGAGACCAAAGCAAGCTTACAACTTCGTCTGATGCCTCCACCAAGAACATGTAGGACTATTAATATGAATTGCATAATAGGTGTTTGTAACACCCTTTCTCTCATCATTATTCTTTCAATGGGCTTGTTAGAATTATATTTTGATAGCACTTGACTCCAAAGTTGCAGTCAGCAACCAATATACTGCTCTTGCCAGCAGTGCATGTCAAGCCCCAATCAGGCTTCTTGGAGAGAGCAATGAAAAATGCTAAACAAAAAGTTTTATTTTATTTTAGAGAACGAGATTGTCTTGGTCAAGTTCTTTCATAACCGTCATACTGAGATCAAGGTGGTACAAGATTGTACCCGCGTTTTAAGAAGCGCTACAGCTCGTGGCATAGTGATATTTGGAAGCGTCCAATGTTTGATGAAATGCCACAGAAGAAAGAACCAAGGGGAGATATTCTTGATTTTGGGTCACTTATGCTTTTAGGATCGCATGAGGACATAGCGGTTTGCAATAGCTCTTGGGCTTCTTCCAGGCAGCAGGCGAGGCTCACTAGGCGTAGACGAGGCAGAGAAATCGTGAGAGGATCTTGGAGCGCGGCAACCAAGATGAAGACAAGGTGTGCTAACATAGTCACCTTTTCCTGGCGTTTTGAGTTCAAACGATTAAGGTTAGGGCTAGACAGAAATGGGAAGCGTGGTGATGTGGGAGGCAGCGAGTCACAGGGGACAGCGAGCATACCAGGAGGACAGGTTGTTGGCGATCCCAGGAAAGGTGGGACTGTTTGCGGTCTTTGATGGCCACCGCGGATCACAAGCAAGCGATTTTGCAGCGACCTGGTTTTACGAAAGATTCAACTATCACTTGAACCAAAGCAACGACAACACCCAATTGCAATTGCAGCTGATGGCCGCTCTGTCCTCTGCAGTCTCAGAACTGGAGGCTGCCTTCATTAAGGAATCGGAAAAGCATGGAATTGTCGCCGGTACCACAGCTTGTGTTGCAGCTGTCACCAGCCACACCCTTGTGGTGTTGAACCTTGGAGACTCGAGGGCTATCCTTTGTGGTATGGAGCCTGCGGATTGTGTAAGGCTGACGCGTGACCATCATCCGTACTGGGAGGACGAGAGGAACCGGATCCAGGAAGCTGGTGGAAGCATTCACAGCAACGGGAAGCTGTTTGGTGAGTTTGAGGTGTCGAGGGCTATAGGTGATCGTGATCTCAAGGCGTTTGGAATGAGCGCAGTGCCGGAACTCACAGTATATGACCTGAGGCAACACTGGCCAAGACCTCTTTACCTTTTGGTTGGATCTGATGGGATTTTCGAAAAGCTGAGATTTCAAGGTGTCTGTGAAGTCGTTGGCAATGCAATTAGGAATGGAGCATGCGAGGGGATTCCTTCGAAAGTGATAGACACAGCACTTCAGGCTGGGACAAAGGATAATCTCACTCTTGTAGCTGTCAAATTAATATGAATTCTAACGATCATCGATTGCATCTGACTAAATTTCTGTTTCTGGTGGCAATGAATATGCTCTGCATCTCTCACCTCTGCATCCGCGACACCATTCCCCGCGCAGCAAGTGGCGCCACTTCCAAACGCTCCCCGAGGACATGGAGATTGTCAACTTCCGGCAGTTCTCCATCTTCGTGTGGCGCTACAGCGATCTCAACTCCTCCCCGGTGGGAGTTCCTTCGTCCACTGGCCAGCGACCGGACGTTTTTGGTGGTGTACAGCCGCGAGAGGGATCGATCAACGCCAGAGTTCTGCATTGCTAGCTTCGATATGCGTTCGCTCTCGTTGTAAGTCTACGACTCGGCTAGGAGGGGCGACGATTGCCCAGAAAGATGGACTCATATGCCGGCGCTGGATCACGGTGAGATGGTGGCGTTTTGCCAAGAGGATCGCAATATACAACCTGTGGGATGGTTCTTGGCGAGTTTTTCGGGTTGATGCCAACGAATTGCTGGGATGTTCTATCAGGTGCTACCTTTGGCTAGATCGGTTTGGTGGTGAGCGAATTCGATGCTGGTGAGTTTCACGATAGCAGAGGGAGTGCTCGTCGCCAAGAGGCAGGGAGAGAAGTGGGAGATTGTGTTTTATGGTGAGGACATTGTGAATTTGTGGGTCGAACAGTGTTTGGGTGGTTAACATGGCCAACTCGTTTATCTTGCACTTTGGAATCGTGGATGAGCCTGATGGAGTTCGAAGAGGAGTAGAGCAGCTTGCTTGGTTCTCTTGTTAAGTATACTTTTCCTCTTTTCAAGTAAAACCGGAGCAAGAAACTGGGCCTCGGTCTGCTCAATTCTTCGTTTTGTGGCATTAATGCGGGGCTTAGTCCCTTTATTTTAGATGCGAACGTTAAGAGACCCAAGGTGTAATCCGAAACTCGTGAAGATCCAACAAGCAGCCTCGAGAGAAAAAAAGAGAACATCCAACAAGAGCACTCTTGGCACCTTTAAAGGTGGACAGACTTTGTACTTTAAGTGTCCTTCACAAAGATAAGGTTTCTTTTTCCTGCTGCTGGATCATCTTGTCAAGGCACGCCAACGATGCAAAGTTTTGAGTAACCTTTGTGTGATGCTCCAGCTCCAGTATGTTAAACCTCAGCTTTACCCGCAAGTGGAACAGTCCCATTGACAGTCCGGTGCCTGGGATTGGTTAATCTCGAGCAAACGCAAATGAATCCCGCCTCGCGCATTGCCTCTTCCAGATCCAAGCCATAGTAGTCATCCAACCAAGGCTCGGTGGACTTTTGAAGTGTAAATAACACCGGTGGCAGGCTTTGCAGAATTTTAGACTTCGGCTGCAACAACAAAGAGATTCAAGTTACTGTGGACTGATAAAAGAAAGAGAAAAGAACATACTGAATTGTCTGTGATTGCAATTGTGCCTCCCGGTTTGAGAATCCTATATGCCTCTTTTAGAAGTCCCTTAGTCGCATGAACCGCACACTCGTGGATCTAAGCACAATGTCTTTCGTCAGCTGGTTCTATGAAAGAAAAGCAAGTTTCACGTACCACATACGCAATGGACACTATGTCAAAGGTGCATGAAGGAAATCCTGTGTGTTCGCCATTTGCGTGACGCCAGCGGATGGGATTCCTTTGGAGCTTGCCATCAGCAATCCGCTGCTTCTCTTTGTGCTGGGCAACGGCAAGGAAATAGGGGGATAAATCTAGCCCCTGGAAGCCATCGTTAGCAAGAGAACGAAAACTATCTACTAGAAAGGAACACACAGTGACTTGAGCAGAAGGAAAAGCTTCAGCAAGGTAGATTGTGCTCAAACCAACCGAACATCCCACGTCTAAAACTTGAGAGACTGGGAGGACCGAGTTCTGGCTATGGTAGCTCTCAAGTGCTCTTATCCAGTTTCCCCTGAGCACTTCTAGCGCTTCTTCCGTGGTTTCTGCGGCTGGAAGCGTCCGCCTGACCATCGACATTGTGGCTACCTCAGCTTCGGAAGCTGCCTGATACATGATCCTGGTTTTGTAGCTATCAGTCACGAAAGAAATAAAAAAAAAGTTCGTGCGTGAATCTCACCTCCCAGCAAAGGTTGCCTTTGGTATAAGCATGGAACTTCTGGAGATAATCTAGAACGAACAAAACCGTAAACACTTGAAAGCTTCTCTAGCTGGAAAGAAGAACTTACACTCGGGATACACGATCGACTTGTTCTCAACCAGCTCCTTCTCTGCTCTTATTTCTTCCGAGTTAAGGATTTGCGAGGACAAACTTCTCCATGGAATTCCCTTCTTCTCTGCAGTCCTGGATGCTACAAGAAAAAAGAATGAATCTCAATACAAATCTTCCAAAGCTTTACCGAAGGAAAACCTGGCGCCCCGCGAATTGCATCGCAGCAAAGAGCGGCCCAATGGAAATGAGCCCACTTACAAGCCTGGATAAGGGCTCGTCGCCACTGTACCTCGGCTGCTTCAATGCGCCCTCCTCATACGGGCCACGCCTCCAATCGTTGGCCACTGCTCGTGAAATGTGGCTCAATCTGCTACTCCCTCTCAGCTGGAAATGAAAATCGCCTCTCCCAATCGACGCAACGCCGCAGACACACGCGGAACTCATGGTTAAAGCCCAAGAACCCTAAAATACCAGAGCTGAGATCATCGTGTGAAGTTACATTTCGCTGGCTAGAGAATGTTCTTAGATTATTGTTGAAATCGGCCACGATGCTCGTCTCAGCTGCTCGTCCCAGATCGCAATGGAGGCCTTCACTGGATCTGCGGGATAACCGAACATCCTGTGAAGAATCACAAATATTGTGCAATCAGGAATTCACATCAACAATCTACTGGATTTTTATAGTTACTTGGATTGTTGTTTCAAGATAGAAATGGGTTTCTAAACGCTACCAACAAAAGTCACAAGAATTGCTTCATTTCATATCTGAAAATGTAAACAATTCTTGAAACTTCTGGACGTTTAAGACTTTCAGATATTTAAGAGGTGAAAGAGGGCAAGATGGATTTGTGGGGAAAAGAGGATTTAAATGCTACAATAGGAAGAGAGCTACAATGACAAGATTGATCAAACATAGAATTTCTCAAGAACAACCCGTAGAGGAGAAGAGTAAATATACCTATCAATGGTTGAATTACAAAATATTTCAAGGGTTGGGTTGAACTACAAAGATCATCTCTTTGCAAGCTTTAGTCATCCATGAAGTTTTCTAGAATTTGGGTAAAACAATTTCAAGGTCTTAATCAAAGAGATTTAAAACAATTTGTAGTTTGAACTAATTTAAACCCATTGAATACTTGTTTGACATGCAAATAGGTAAATCTAGTTTTCTCCTCTAGGGGTCTTCTTGAGAACTATGCTTGACCGTTGTAACTATCTTCCCATTCTAGCATCCTCTTTTCCCCATCCATCTGGAAGCCTCTTTTAAATATCCAGAAGCCTTACACATTTTCAGATCTAAAATCTAGAAAAAATTATATTTTCAACTACACTTTCAAGCTTCCTGGGAACTGTATTAGTCCCACGATGTCAGATCTACAGAGATGTTATATAACTCCATCAATAACTTGCAACTATGATGCTTCTCTTCGCAGCCTTCTTGACGGCACACGGCTGCTGCTAGTGCTTCTCAACCACGGCTTGTTTCCGTCGCTCAAAAAGAGCTGCTATCTTCCTGAAGAGAGATTAAAAGCTTAAGAACCGAAAAGATAGAGAACAATAGAAAACTCACCTGGATGTTCCCTTGGATTTGCAACTTTTTCTTGATTCAATTTCCCTCGCCTCTCTGGCTGATTCCTCTTTACTGTCTTGTTGCAGCTCCTCTTTTTTCCGCTGCTCCTGACACACGAAAGACAAGAATAAACATCGCCTCGTTATATGTCGGTTCGTTTCCTCATCACTTCCATTTGTTTTAGTCCCTTTGTTAAATGTAGAGGGTAACAACTGATTATTTGATGTAAGACCCAAGGTGTTAAGAGAAAAAGATCAAGGTGGACAAACTTTGTAATTAAGTGTCCTTCAATCAAGTGGAACAGTCCCTGTGCCTGGGATCAGTTAATCTCGAGCAAATCTAATGAATCCTGCCTCGTGCATTGCCTCTTCCAGATCCAAGCCAAGGCTTGGTGGACTTTTGAAGTGTAAATAACACAGGTGGCTGTGGAATGATAAAAGAAACAGAAAGGAACATACTGAATTGTTTGTGATTGCAATTGTGCTCCCGGTTTGAAAATCTTATATGCCTCTTCTAGAAGCTCTTTATTCACATTAACCGGACACTCATGGATGTAAGCACAAGGCATCTTTCGTCATCTGGTTCTATGAAAGAAAAGCAAGTTTCACTTACCACATACGCAATGAACACCACTATGTCAAAGGTGCGCGAACGAAGGAAATCCTGTGTGTTCGCCATTTGCATGCTGCCAGCAGGGGGTTCCTTTGGAGCTTGCCATCAGCAATCTGCGCTTCTCTTTGTGCTGGGCAACGGCAAGGAAAGGGGGATACTGGAAGCCATCGTTAGCAGGAGAACGAAAACTATTTACTAGAAAGGAACACTTAACATCCCACGTCCAAAACTTGAGAGACTGGGAGGACCGAGTTCTGGCTATGGCAGCTCTCAAGTGCTCTTATCCAGTTTCCCTGAGCACTTCTAGTGCTTCTTCCGTGGTTTCTGCGGCTGGAAGCGCCCATCTCACCATCGACATTGTGGGTACCTCAGCTGCCTGACACCGCAGACATGATCCTGGTTTTGTAGCTATCAGTCACAAAAGAAATCAAAGAAAGTTCGTGCGTCACCTCCCAGCAAAGGTTGCCGTTGGTATAAGCGTGAAACTTCTGGAGATAATTTAGAAACGAACACAACCATAAACACTTACACTCGGGATACACGATCGACTTGTTCTCAACCAGCTCCTTCTCTGCTCTAATTTCTTCCGAATCAAGGATTTACTCCTCCATGGAATTCCCTTCTTCTCTGCAGTCCTGGATGCTACAAGAAAAAAGAATGAATCTCAATACAAATCTTTCAAATCTTTACCGAAGGAAAACCTGGCGCCCCGCGAATTGCATCGCAGCAAAGAGCGGCCCAATGGAAATGAGCCCACTTACAAGCCTGGATAAGAGCTCGTACCTCGGCTGCTTCAATGCGTCCTCCTCATACGGGCCGCGCCTCCAATCGTTGGCCACTGCTCGTGAAATGTGGCTCAATCTGCTACTCCCTCTCTGCTAGAAATGAAAATCGCCTCTCCCAATCGAGGCAACGCCGCAAGATCATCGTATTTCTCTGGCCAAGTACATGGAGAATATTCTTACCGTGCCGCCACGATGCTCATCTCAGCTGCTCGTACACCAGGAGTCCCAGGCGTGCCGCGAGAAGCCATGGGATCCGCGCGCCAACCGAACAGCCTGTGAAGAATCACAATTAAGCTTTCATGAAAAGCTTGGATGAATCTTGTTTCTTATGCAATCAAGAATTGGGAATAGGATGGAATGTTGTTTCAAGGTAGAAATGGGTTTTTAAACGCCTATGCAGAATTCGACACGTGCAGAAGTTGCAAGAATCGCTTCATTTTCAGATCTGAAAATGTAACGATTCTTGAACTTCTTCACGTTAAGACTTCTGGATATTTAAAAAGGAGTTCAAGTTGTGAGCGGTTGCACAGGGGGGAAAGAGCCCACCAATGGAGTTCTGACTAAGATGGAGCTGCTGTGCAGAGGGAAAAAAAAAACATCAAGAGGATTTACGATGGGAAGAGAGCAATTAGAATGGTGTTAGAGAGCAGCATCAAACGCCACCACTTGAGTGTGTTTCCTCGCAATGGAATCAGAGAGGCCAAGAAGCTCCACAAGTGATTTTAAAGTGTGAATTTGCTAGCCTAGACTATCTACAACGACAAGCGTGGAGTTTCTCAGGAGAGGAGAACTATTTGCATGCCAAACCAATGCAGTGCGGCATTATATAATTCAACGAGTTTGGATTACAAAATATCCCATGGGTTGAATTACAAAATATTTCAAGATTCTAACTACAAGTGTTCCAAAAAGATTCAAACTACAAAATGCTCCATGGGTTAACTAGAAAATGTACCAAGGCACAAACTACAAATGTTTCATGGTTGAATTATAAAATATTTCACAGTTTGAATTACAACATTTTGTAGTTTGAACTTTGGAAATTTTTTTAGTTTGAACATTCAAACATTTTCCAAAGGAACAGCCCATATGCATTGCCTCTCTTTGCAAGCCTTAGTCTCTAGAATCTATGTGAAAACAATTTCAAGGTCTCAATCTCTCCCATGCATAGTGACACCAATCTCCCCAAAGCCAAGCATGGATATAGTGACACCAAATCTCCAAATCTTCCAAAGCTTTAACTTCCTTTCTAGTGGACACAATTGCTCTTCCATGTTCTATTGTCCAGGGACAAAATCCTTCCCAAGCAAGTTAATCAACACACAAACTAGAAAAGATGTACTTTCAAACTTGAAAGTAAGCATGAAAGTATAGGTGAAAAATTGCATTTTTTCTTCAGCTTAACTGGGAAGGATCTGATATGGACAAGGAATGGGTGCTGTGCTCTGTCCCTGGAAAAGAGAACATACTTATAGCACCCAAGAAAGAGTTAACAACAGCCAGGGAGAACACTTATATACTTCGACAATTTCAAGCTTCCTGGGAGAATATATTAATCCCATGATGTAAGATCTACAGAGATGTTATATAGCTTCATCAGTTACTTGAAACTATGATACTTCTCAGCCTTCTCGATGGCACGCGGCTGTTGCTTGTGCTTCTCGACTCTGGCTGCTCGACTAAAGGCCACGGCTCGTTTCCCTCGCTCAAAAAGAGCTGCCATCTTTCATGCTCAATCCTGAAGAAAGATTAAACAGCTTAAGAACCGGAAAGATAGAAAATTTAGGAGAAAACTCACCCGGATGCTCCCTCGGATCTGCGACTTTTCCTGGCCTCAGCTTCCCTCTCCTGCCTCTCTCGCTGATTCCTCTTTACCTCGTCTTGCTGCTTTCGCAGCTCCTCTTTTTTCCGCTGCTCCTGGGAGACATGGCCTTTAGTACACACGAAAGACAAGAATAAACACCGCCTTGCCTGTTCCTCTAGCAGCTTTCTCGTTGCCTCCCGAATCTGTCGGTTCTTTTCCTCAACAAGCTTCAAAGCGGCCTCTTCTTCCCGCTTCCGTCGCTCCTATGCACACACGAAAAACAAAAGAAAATTCAAGGACGTGGAGAAAGAAAAGAAGAAAAGAAGACGACGAACCTCTTCTAATCGCCGCTGTTCTTCCAAGATCCGAAGCTGCTGCAATCGCTCCTCCTCTTCCTCGTTTCGCCGCCGCTCCTCCTCTTCCCTAACACCACACCAGTTTCCTCGCGTCAAGCCGCACACACCATTTGCAAAACCTGAACATCCAGTCAGCTTAGCAAACACTAACTACGGCAATCCGGCTATGGTCTGTCTCACCTTTGAGCTTGCTCAGCAGCTCTGGCTAACCTTTCCGCTTCCTCGGCCGCCGCCGTTCGCATCTCCTCCGCCAGCCGCTCTTCTTCTGCGAGCCTAGCCTCCTCAGCAAGTCTAGCCTCTTCCGCTCTCCTAGCCTCCTCTGCCTTTCGTGCTTCCTCGGCTTTTCTCTGTTGCTCCGCCACCTTCTGTGCTTGAGCTAGCCGAGCGTCGTTCGCAAGCTTCAGTGCGTGTTCTTTATCAAAACGCCGCTTTCGTATGTTCATAGGACTGAAGAACAAGCTATTGTCCCACTCCAACAGATAATTGGCTTTGAAACTTGAACCGTCCTGCGTATACCACCGTGAGTACCAACGACAAGAGGTTACTAAGAAGTCTCACCTTTTGCATTGAGCGGCCACACAGTGCCTCCACTGCGTTGTAAAATCCAGAATACTTTTCATATTGGATCCATACGTTGCACTGTAGCGATGAAGTTTTCCCAGTGTCACTCTCGTTCACAATCTCCAAGTTTCTGCAAAGAAGAAGATTAGAACCGGTTGTAGAACAATAGACTACGACCAACCTGAGTTTCCCAAACTTGGAGAAGACTGTGTGAGTTACTAGCACAGATGCTTGAGTAGAAACGCGTGGCTCAGCAAACCACCGAGAAGGCAGTCCCTTTAAAACCAAAGTATCTGGAAAGTTGGAGCTATGATCTGAAAGAAACCGAAAAGAATAGATCAAGAATCCTCCAAACAACTGAGAGAACTTACCAGAAACATCACTGCCAAAGACCGTCTCCCACGAAGATCGCAATGCCGCAAAGCTATCCTTCTCATCGAACTGGACACCACAACGCAGCTTGGCTCCACCGATGATAAACTCGACACCATCAAGAGCTCCAACACAGCTCTTCCTAGCAAGCTCCACTTGAGAATCCCACACAAAGAGCTCCCAAGTCACTGCCTCCTCCTCCACTCTACACTTGACAAGATCCTTCTCTCCAAGCTCCACTTTCAAGCTCTTCCTCACGACACTCCTCACCCATTCCTTGAGCAGCCACTCATCGATGTGCTTCACAGCGGATCTCCCAAGCCGCCGAAAGACGAGGAACAATCTCACCCGCGGTAGCAGCGCCAAGCCGTGCTCCAAGCGCTCCGCCATGGCTCTCTCCTCGCTCGATCAATCCCTAGCCAAGTAGGGCAAAATAAAAGCCCTATGAGAAGAACTCCCGGCAATGAATCGAATCGATTGAAGCAGGAGCTCGCGTGCTTGATCAAGAGCTGTGGCGAATCCCGCGATTTGGATCGCGCGCGCCAGGCCCTCGGGGCAATCGGGTCGACCGCTCACAAGCACAATCGCTGCCTCGCCAATCTGGCCGTGGAGATGTTTGGCAAATGCGGCAGCGTGGACGATGCCCAGGCCACATTCGATAGCATCGCGGACCCAAACCTCTTCTCCTGGAACATCCTCACGAGAGCTTATGCCCTAAATGGGCATCTGGAGAAAGCCAAGGAGATCTTCGATCGAATGCCCTCACGAGACGAGATAACTTGGACAGATCTAATCCGGGCGTTTGGCGATCATGGAGTGATCGAGCAAGCTAGAAATATCTTCGACCGAATGCCCAGATGGGACGTAGTAGCGGCGACGTGCTTGCTCACCGCAAATGCCCAAGCTGGGCATTTAAAATGTTTGAAGTGTTTGTTTGATTCTTTGCCCCGCAGAGACATCGTGTCTTGGAACGCCACTCTCGCCGGCTATAGATCAAATGGCTGCGTCGCCGAATCGATGGAGCTCCTCGCAAGGATGCCGCAGCACAATGCCTTGTCGTGCACTGCCGCGATCGCGGCATGCGCCGAGAATCATCGCCTGGACGACGCTAGGGTTCTATTTGATCGAATGCCATTCGCGACGGCGCTGGCATCCACGATCCTCGTCTCGTCCTACGCGCAGGCCGGGCGGATCGACGATTCCAAGAGCGTCTTCGATCGATTGGAGGCCCGGACGGTGGTGTCGTGGAACGCGATCTTCAATGCCTACATCCACACGGGGCGATTCGCCGATGCCAAGAGGGCTTTCGATCGAATGCCAGCGCGGGACGCGATCTCCTGGAACGCGATGATCGCAGGCTACTCCCAGTATGGATTTCTCGAGGAATGCGTAGATCTCTTCCACGCAAGCCCCCATTCCAGTGTGGTTTCCTGGACGGCTATGGTGGTCGCGTGTGCCGAGGGCGGGCAGCTCGATCGCGCAGAGCAGGCATTCCGATCGATGCCAGCGCGCGATATCGTCGCCTGGAATGCGATCGCGGCGGCGATGTTCGCTGGAGGGGATCTGGAGCGCGCGAGATCGGCAGTGGATCGGATGCCCAGGCACAACGTCTCGACCTGGAACGCGATCGTCACGGGCTACGCTCTCGCCGGGGATCCCATCCAAGCCAAGGCGATCTTCGATGCGATACGATGCCGGAATTCCTTCTCCTGGAGCGCTCTCCTCCAGTCATCCTCTCACGACCTCGATCTCTCTCGCGCGCTCTTCGATCGCATCCCAGCGAGGGATCCAGCGTCCTGGAACGCGATAATCTTCGCGCACGCCCGGCTGGGGCATCTGGATCGAGCAAAGGCGCTGTTCGATTCAATGCCGGGGGAGGACTCCGCGATCGCAGCCTGGACTTCGATGGTCACGGCGTACGCGCGAGCCGGGCGAGTGGATCTAGCAAAGGAGCTCTTCGATCGATCGAGGGTGCCAAGCCCAGTTCTTTGCAATGCGATGATCGCAGCATATGCCCAGAATGGGCATCACCGGGAGGTGTTCCAAGGGCTTGTGGAGATGAGCTTGCGAGGGATTAGGGCAGACACCATCACATTCGTTCTCCTCCTCATGGCGTGCAGCCATCGCGGCCTCGCAGACAAGAGCCGCGATTTCTTCGTGGCTATGGTGGCGGATTACGGCGTGGCGCCCTGCTCGGAGCATTACAACTGCGTGGTGGACGCGCTAGGGCGATCTGGGCGTGTTCTTGAGGCGGAGGATCTCGTCGCAGCGATGCCAATCTTGCCGCACAGCACTGCTTGCAGATCGCTCCTTGGCGCTTGCCGGATCCACGGCGAGATGGAAATGGGGCAGCGCGCGGCGCGCGGGGTGATTGGATTGGAGGAATCGTCCGGGGTTTCATCCGACTTCGTGCTCCTCTCAAATATCTATAGCGCTCTTCATTGGCAGTGAGGGTTTAGGGTTTTTGGGGATAGCGCTGGCAATAACAGTGAGTCGCGCTACGCCGGCTGTGTGATCTTGCACGGATGACATCGAGGAGGCCTATCGTCTCATTGTTCTCACGCTGGTAAGATTCTAGCCAAAGTTCTTAGTGTTCTTATTGTGTGCTTGGCAGACGCATCCGGAGTATAGGCCCAGTAAGAATGCGCACTTGGTTCCACCGTTTTGTGGATCGGACCTGGTGTTCAGCTCGAGGCAGTGGAGCAGCCATGTCGTTGGTAAGTGTACCGCTTTGTTTCCAAATGGTTCTCTCATTTTACTCTTTGTTCTAGGACGAGTAAGTCACTGGATGGCGATGACGATATTGCTCGTCCCGATTCGGAGCTTGTGTTGAAGAAGGAGCTTAGCTGGGCTGCGCATCTATCAGTACAGGTTTGTGTTTGTTTGTGGACTTGCCGTTCTTACCAGGCGTGTTTATTTCCAACTCCGAAGGTATTTGGCTGTGCAAACTATGCGAGGTGCGTCAATCAGGTTCTCCAAGGCCTGGGGAGCAGGATGGTTTTGGATCCTAAGAGGTTTCTTTCAGCTATGGCTTAGATTGCCATTGCAATTTGAGGAGGCAGAGCTGAAGATGCTACATATCTGGTAAGCATTGGTTTTGTTCGTGTTTCTTCAATCTGTGATTGCTTCCGGAGAGTCAGTAAACCGGTTTGTGATTCAATGGGGAATGGTGGCATATGTTTTGTACCCTTTGCGAGTATCATAAGATTGTCTTTACAGTCCACTTGTACCCAACTGAGGAGTATGGGACTCTAAACTACATAAACTCGTAACCAGCGGGGCGTGCCGCTCGACATCACGTATGTTTCACTGTATATTCATTCATTATCCGCGGGGATCCTTTCAGAGCACCACTCGTTGGATTGGAGAACCGTTAAAAGGCCCGCTATCCTCCATTCAAGTGTAAGTGCATAACACAAAGTGGCGATTTCTAATAGCAGAGTCACGAGAGTCCGATTACAATGCTGTTTAATCGCTCAGTGCAGGTTTGCTGCCCGTGTTCCACAGTTGACCATTCAATACTTTCACAGGTCATTGAGTCATATCGTTCAGTTGGTGTGTTTGAGTAAGCCAGCAACGCTTTTTCTTCCACGAATTGTGGTCAACCTTCTAGATCCTAGAAACAACTGATCCACTTTGATGAAGTGTACGCTATTCCACGTTAGTTTGCTTTATTTAGATAAATACCTTTTGGACGTTGGGTATATCAGTCACGCACGGACTAGGGTTTCCGTAATAGTCTAAATGTCTCAAGCAGTGCTGTCGCTCCAGGGGAACCATGCAGAGCTCACGCCCGCCCATGAAGGAGGCCCCACCCGAGAAGATTTCAAGAGGGCAAGTGGGATCAAACTGCGCTGCAAGACTTGTGGCGAGCCCTCCAGTTTTATTGATTTTAACAATCACAAGATCACGCAGCCGCGATACAATTGTAAGGCCTGCCGTTTTACTGTCCAGTTAAGGGACGAGAATCTCTTGAGGGAGCTTCGTCTGATCGATTAAGTAAACCTTATAGACAAGATACGATGTTCCATGGGTATCTGCCCTAATTCCTATAAGTAAAGTATTGAAGCTATATAACATGAAATATCTTCTCGTTCTTGTTCTTTACCCAAAGCCACAAGCATGCAGTGCGTCTTGAGAGGCGATTTCATGGCGGAGCTGGAGCTCGTCTTGTTAAAGCTGTCCGCGATCGATCTGTGCCAGGGGAGATGCGTGTGCCGCGAATGGCAACGAGCAATCGACGCTCCCAGCTTCCGGGGAGGGTACACGCGCTCCCATGGCTGCATTCCTCACCTTTCCCTCAGGCTCGCCGAATCCCTCTTCGTCAAGCCAGTCGACAATTCCCCGCGCAGCGAGTGGCGCCTCTTCCAGACGCTCCCAGAGGCCATGACCATCGCCAGCACCGACGCGGGCTTGCTGTGCCTGGCCACAGTTTAGGGACTTGGATCGGCCCTCCTCCATCTACATGTGGCGCTACAGCGATATCAACTCCTCCCCGGTGACAGTTCCGTTGCCACCAGTGCCCATCGACTGCATGGTGGTGTACAGCCGCGACAGGGATCGATCGACGCCACAGTTTCGCGTGGCTATCTTCGACAGGCCCTCGCTTCCGTAGACATGGGCTGTACCATTCACAACAACGGCTTCTATCCGATGTTGCATCACGGTGTGGCGGTGATCCTTTGCACGGAGACGTGGAGGGTCTTGCGATACAACATGTGGGACGGTTCGTGGAGCATTGCGGATCTTGACACCACCGAGTTGGAGTTGGGATCCAGGTGGGCGTTTGTGCTGTTGGATCCGGGCCGACTTTTCGTGCTGAGCGAGGACGACAATACGGAAGATTTGGAGGGACTGATCGTCGCAGAGATGCAGGGAGAGAAGTGGCAGGTCGCGTCGCGCTGTGACGAGCTTGGCAATGTGGAAGTGCGCGAGAACTTGATATGCACCGATGGGAGCAACAGGATATGGCTGGTCGACTCGGACTGCTCACGCATCATGCACTTTGGAGTGGTTTCCAAGTGCTGGGCGGAGGTGGAGACACCACCAGACACTTTTAAAGGACACAAGGAACTCGCATGGTTCTCCTGTTAAGTAAGTAAGTAAGCTGTTCTTTCTTTCTCCCCGTTTTTTGTATGAGGTTTTTTCTCCAGGAATCGAAAACAGCGAAAGCGTGAGCATACCTGCATTAGATGACGTGCATTCTCTTCTGGCAGCACTCTATGCGGGTATACAAGTTGAGCGAAATTTATCTTCTGCCGACCGTCTCCTCTTTGCTGCAAAAGTTTTCTGTGTGGACCACCACTTTTTGTTCCATAAACCTAGCTTCGTTTGATCGTCTAGATCAACGTATAGTATCAATGTCTACTTTTTAAGCGGAAAAAAAGTATTATTTAAGCATAACGGAAGTCAATTTCATTAATAAAATAAATAAAGC